TTTCAATCAGATAAATGATGCTAAGGTCTTACGAGAATTTTTTTGTAGGATTATAGAGAAAAATTATCATCTTATTTCAAAAGTAATCCTCAGCTATACTCAGATGCAAATTCTGAATCCAGTCCTCATCTGAGCTTTGTTCTTGTCCTGGTTTCAGCTGGGATGGAGTTAATTTTCTTTCTAGCAGTGCTGTGTTCTGGCTTCAGTCTGAGAACAGTGCTGATAACACACTGATGTTTTAGTTGTTGCTAAGCAGCACTTACCCTGATCAAGGACTTTTCAGTCTCATGCTCTGCCAGAGAGGAGGGGCACAAGAAGCTGTGAGGGAGCAGAGACAGGACTTCTGACCTGAACTAGCCAAAGGGATATTCCATACAACAGAACGTCATGCCCAGTGTATAAACTGTGGGGACTTAGCTGGAAAGGACCAATCATTGCTCAGGGACAAGCTGGGCTTCAATCAGTGGCTGGTGAGCAGCTGTATTGTGAATCACTTGTGGCTTTTTTTCAGGGGGCAGTGTTTATTCCTTCCTCTCTCTCTCTCCCCCCCCCCACCCTTATTATCATCATATCATCATCATCATCACTAACATTATTATCATTATTATGTTTTGTTTCAATTATTAAACTATTCTTATCTCAATGCATGGGGGTTTACCTTTTCTCTTATTCTCCTCCCCATCCTACTGGGGAGGGGGTGGAAAGAGTGAGTAAGCAGCTTCGTGGTACCAACTTGGCAGCTGGGGTTAAACCGCAATAGTTTGTAATACCATTCCTCAGTTGCTTTCCATTTTCTTACCCCAATTTGCCAGTAAGCAGAAAGCCTACTTTTACATGGCATGGTATATCTTTTTTTATTCAATCCCAGTTGTAACTACACAAAGTCACAGCACCAACACAAGAATTTAGTGAGCACCATAGAAAATCAGTGCAGAGGAACTCACTTTGGCTCATTATCAAAACTTGTTGGCCCTTCTTCATTCCAGCAAAAGGCAGCAGTAAATCCCAGGCCTTGCAGTCTGAACGACTGGTTGAAGTTTTAAGCCCTCAGCCACTACCTTAGGTGTACCTTTCTTCTTGTATTTATTTCTTAATATGGCAAGCTGGCTTTGTACTCCTTATTCTTTTTTCCTTTGTTTCATCTTTCTATTTCCACAGGGAACACTGACAGCCTGATCATACAGACTTCACTTTTTCTTTCCATAGGACTGCAGGATAACTGCTATGTTTACAGGACATTTGGCTCTAATTAATTTAACTGATTAACTGCTTTAATTACTTTGACTTTGAACTGGTTTTACTCTACACACTCACCCTCAAACAGATTTCTACCTCAGAAGAGTTAGTGCAGTTAAGTATTTAAGCACTTTCTTCTGGCTGAGAGTGCTACTGTTGAAGAGTTGAAGAGATCAGGTATGTTGCCCTGCAATTCTGAATCAGTAACATTAACAGCATATTTGCAGTTACTTCCTGGTTATTTTACATACGATTTGTTGGTATATGCCTCAGATAAATGTGCTTGAAGACTATAGAAAAATGTTTTGTCAAAGAAAAGTGAAAATGCTTCCCATACCACATTTTGTCTTAGAAAGGATATACCATTACAGAACTCCTCTTTTAGTTTGCTAAAAATAGTCTTTTCAAGAGACTGTGTGTGCTTTAAAGTTTGTTCCAATCTTTCCAAGTAATTTTATTTCTCTCAGTTAGTGTCTTTTGAAGTACAACCTGTAGAGAAATAGACTATTCTTCCTTACTTTGATGGTTAATTTCTTGCTGTATTTTGGTTTTGAATAACCTGTATTTAAGAATGATGGTTCAACTGTACTAATGCATTTGTAAATAAGGGAACCATGAGGCATAAAACCCAGAAAAACAGATATCTGGAATATATGTGAAAATCCAGAGAAAATAAAGTAAAAATACCACCTAAAGAACATAAAAGTGAAAAAAAAAAAAAGTGATTTCGCAGCCTGGCATCATTTTTTAATGAGACAGTATATTTTAATACAGTGATTGAAATGCTGCTTGTCGTGTGGTTTTCATTCAGATGCCCTCACTATATCAAATGGATCCTATACCCTGGCTCAGCTTCTCCAGAGGAAGAGCTTTGTTATACATCATTGTGACCTAAGAGTCTAAAATACACTTTACTTCAGGAAGAACTATAGTTTCCACTCTTTTATGAGCTAATGGGATCTGTCTAGTTTTTAGTAATTAAAGTCACGTTTTTCTGATTTAAACTTGCAGATAGTGGTGTACGTGTGTGCTGTGCACATGTGCACTTTGTAGCCCTACCAGCAACAAATGCAAAGAGGTCCTTTCTCTAGTTCTGTGACAGCCATCAGTTTCTCTATGACAAGCATTTCTGGAATCATAATGTACCTTCTGTCCCTCCATTTCATTCAGATGTAATGTAGGTATTTCTGACATGATTAACATGAGCAGGACCACACACCACCTGATAACAACCACATATATTTTGATCTGAGATATTCCTCTATAACCAGCATACACTGAGGACTTACTTCACTGTATAGAAAGCCTGCTGCTTCCCAGTTCTGCAGTCAGTGGTTAAACGTAATGCTTACATTTAGCTGATGCTGCCGATAATTCTCAAGCAATGAAAGCCAGGCACATTTTTGTCTCCTAAAATAAGCCAATGGAAATTAATCTCAGATCAATTAACTGATGTGCTTCACTCCTTTTGTGTCCCTGCCCATGGCAGAAGGGTTGGAACTAGATGATCTTTGAGGTCCTTTCCAACCCTACTTATTCTATGATTCTGTGAAACACTTTTATAAAGTGTAGTTAATTTTTGCCATTGGGAAAGGCCAGGTATATCTTCACTGGCAACACTTCATTACTGAAAATCACAAAGGATAAAGGAGATCATTGACGAGGACCTAAGCAGGCATTAGTCTAAGCCAACTCAGTATCTATGAACTACCACATCTTTACAGTGACTCAGCAGTCTAAAGGGACTGGACATACTATGTATTTCAATTTGAGCTTCCCCAAGAAATCTGACTTGCCCATGGGGCAAAACCACATCTTTAGAAAGCCCTGTATTGCCACTAAATTTCCTCCTAGATCTTTCTTGTCTGACAGCAGTGTGAACAATTACTCAGTAAGAGGGTAATTTCCATCAACGAAGGTGAAAGTACCCACTCTGATTTTATCTTTTTTATTTTATTTTTGTGGGTACTCAGGAAAATGTTCCTCTCACTTTCCTTTCTTACAGTTCCTCTCTGCTACCACTGAGTCTTCCTTTTGCAGAAACTCCTGCTGCTTACTCTTAGTATTATCATTTTAAGGTTAAAGAACAACTAAGTAATTATGGAGATGCTGAGGAGATTCAGATGGCAGGAGTAAGAGTAGGAAAATTTAAGATCTGTATGAGATGGTAAATGCTTTTGCTCCTAGAAATTAAAAAGAAGTGAGGGAACAAATGATTCAAAGTTTGTTAAAACTCCATCATTTTTTGTTGTTTGCTGCATTCTCTGGCAAGGGTAGAAGAAATCAGCTTAAGCTACAGCAAACCAGAAGAAACTTTTCAATTCCTCTAATGGCAAAACATCTCATGGGGTACTAATAATAGAAGAATTTTAATTTCAGTTTATGTGATAAACACATAAATGTATTGGCTTTCGCAAATGTGGATATATGTGGATATAACTGTATGAGCTTGCAAAGCTCGCTAAATACACAAGATTGGACAACAAGCTGAAAATGGCCAGAACTCTTGAGCAAAATGGAGTCACACAGCAAAAGAATTTGTAAAGGTAAAAGAAAAGGGGGGGGGAGGTTGATATGAGGAAAGCTAGTGCCTGGAAAATACAGGGTTAAAGTACTTTTAGCTTAACTTCAGTTGAAGATAAAGAACAATGTGTTGTAAGCCTGTGGTAACAGAATTTAGTGGCCCCACTAAACAGGAGTGATTACTTCACAACATCCTTCTACTTATCAGTTCGTTTAGAGACAGTGCCTCCCAAACACCTGCTAGTTTTGGATACTCCTTGTCTGCCCGTCCTGTTTTGCTTGCAATAAATTTTGCACGAAGGTCACACTGTTATAAATCTTTACCAGCTATCAGAAAAGTTACAGATACGTGGTTTCAGCTAGCTTTGTGATTACTGGGGCATCCAACTGTCCCAAAGGTGAAAAGTACACCGTGAGGAAGACTGCTTACTTCATCCTCAAGACCCCTGCCCACAGTCACCGCAAAGCAGTGCGCAGACACCAAGAGGAGGAGACTTATGATAATAAGTTCCTGGAGCAAGTTATAATATTCCCCACCTATATGTGGGAATTATGAATATGTATACGGCTAACGCAATAGTGAAAGTATATAAACCTGTAACAGATGCTAATCAGTGCACCTCTGGCTATGGTCACGCACCCAGTGCTGTTGCTTTTGCTTTGTTCACTTTGTCTCTCAATAAAACCTTGTTATCTTGTTTAGAGGAGTGAGCTCGTATTTCACAGCTTAGCGACTGACTTAAGGTCAGTTTAGGTCAGGGCTTGGCAGCTTCTCACAGGTGGTATCCCATTTTATGTTCTCTGCCCTCAACTCAGATATAAAAGGCAATAATCATGTGAACCAATTCTGTGGTTCTAACAACTCTTTGTGGTAAACTTACCACTGTGGGTTTATCAAGACAATAAAAAAATTCTTATCTCACTAAAAATTACATTTTTTTTGCATTTTGTTGATTTCCCCCCCAGCCTGATGTAGCACTATGCTACACAGGTAGAAACTGATGCCTCCTCTCAAAGCCAGCCTCTGTGAGCTACTACTTGATGCAAAGTCGTAGATAAGGAAAAGGCTGTATTTCACCCATTGGAAGCATGGGTGTGACTATGTAGAGGAGTGGGTTTTTTGATTAAACAATCATGATAGAAAATGTAAGCAAGTGTTCTGGAACAAACTGACAGAGGAGGAGGGAAAGGCTAAGACCATCGAAGCTGATGAATCCCTAGAGAATGTAAAAGTTACTTACCTGTGCAATCATGTCCGCAGTTTCAGAGTAACTGCGGCACTTTTTCACAGCTGAACGAGCTAAAAAATCATCAATCAGCCTTACACCAATGCCGTATCCCCTAAGAAGAAAACAAAGGAAGTTAACATTCAAAATGGGCAACTTCTTTCCACCTACTACATCCCTAATCTGTTTCTTGTGCTTTCTCAGCAAAACAGCTGAGAAATGCATGGCTTTGAAAGCAACAGATTTTGCTGGCCTAGATTCTTCTTTCTGCCATATATTGCAGCACAGTGGGATTGCTGTTCCTGCAGTCATTTAAGGAATCATACCCCTTTAAGCATGATACTCCTGGTGATGATGATATGAAAGTTGCTTATATACACATTTTCTATATATGCATTTATATTTACATATGTGAATAAATATTATATGTTAGGTATATGAATGTAATATAGAAATAGCATACAAATAATATGCCTGATTAATACTGCTTTGTCACTAAAAAGAGGATGGATAGAATAACACAGCACAAGATTCTCTCCATTCCCATGTGATCCCCAGAGTTCATCTCACACTGTCAAGGAGAAGAAAACAACTGCCCCCTCATGACACAGCATTCACCTCCAGGATGAGGAGTTCAGCCCCTAAAGGGCAGGGGGGCCTAAGACTGTTGGTTGATACTCAAGGATCACCTTACTACAAGCTCAGGAGTGTTGCATCCCAACCAGAAGGAAGTGCAGCAGGAGGGCCAGGAGACCTCCTTGGATGGATAAGGAGCTGCTGAGGAAAATTCAAATGAAAAAAGAGTCTTATAAAAGGTGGAAGCAAGGACAGACGGCCTGGGAAGAATACAGGGATGTTGTCGGGGAAGCTAGGGACCAGGTTAGGAAAGCTAAGGCCCAGTTAGAATTAAACTTGGCTAGGGATGTGAAAGATAACAGGAAGAGATTCTATAGGTACGCTGCGAATAAAAGACAGACTAGGGACAACGTGGGCCCCCTCAGGAAGCAATCAGGAGAACTGGCTACACAGGATTTGGAGAAGGCTGAGGTTCTGACTGACTTCTTTGCCTCGGTCTTCACTGGCAAAGGCTCTGACCACACCACCCAAGACTTGGAAGGCAGACGTGAGGACTGTGAGAATGAAGACCCTAGGCCCACTGTAGGAGAGGATCTGGTTCGAGACCATCTTAAGAACCTGAATGTGCACAAGTCCTTGGGACCTGATGAAATCCATCCGCAGGTCCCAAAGGAGCTGGCAAATGAAGTTGCTACGCCACTGTCCATCGTATTTGAAATATCACAACAGTCAGGTGAAGTTCCTGACAATCAGAAAAAGGGAAATATAACCCCCATTTTCAAGAAGGAGAAAATGGATGACCCAGGGAACTACAGACCAGTCAGTCTCACCTCTGTGCTTGGCAAAATCTTGGAGCAGATTCTCCTGGAAGGCATGCTAAGGCACATGAAAAACAACAAGGTGCTTGGTGACAGCCAGCATGGCTTCACTAAGGGGAAATCCTGCCTGACCAATTTGGTGGCCTTCTATGATGGGGCTACCGAACTGATGGACAGGGGTAGAGAAGTTGATGTCATCTACCTGGACTCGTCCAAAGCATTCAACACTCTCCCACACGACATCCTTGTCTCTAAATTGGAGAGACATCAATTTGATGGATGGACCACTCGGTGGATAAAGAACTGGCTGGATGGCCGCACGCAAAGAGTTGTGGTCAATGGCTCAATGTCCGGCTGGAGACCAGTAACGAGTGGTGTCCCTCAGGGATTGGTGTTGGGACCGGTCTTGTTCAACATCTTTGTCAGTGACATGGACAGTGGGATTGAGTGCACCCTCCGCAAGTTTGCCAATGACACCAAGCTGTGTGGTTCGGTTGATACGCTGGAGAGAAGGAATGCCATCCAGAGGGACCTCGACATGCTTGTGAGGTGGGCTGATGCCAACCTCATGAAGTTTAACCATGCCAAGTGCAAGGTCCTACACCTGGGTCAGAGCAATCCCAGGCACAGCTACAGGTTGGGCAGAAAAGAGATTCAGAGCAGCCCTGCAGAGAAGGACTTGGGGGTGTTGATCAGTGAGAAAATGAACATGAGCTGGCTTCAGTGTGCACTCACAGCCCAGAAAGCCAACCGTATCCTGGGCTGCATCAACAGGAGTGTGACCAGCAGGTCGAAGGAGGTGATCCTGAAGGGGGCCTATAAGGATGCTGGGGAGAGACTCTTCATTAGAGACTGTAGTGATATGCTACAAAGGGTAACGGGTTAAAACTTAAACATGGGAAGTTTGGATATAAGGAAGAAGTTCTTTACTGTGAGGGTGGTGAGGCACTGGAATGCGTTGCCCAAGGAAGCTGTGAATCCTCCATCCCTGGTGGTGTTCAAGGCCAGGCTGGACAGAGCCTTGGGTGACATGGCTTAGTGTGAGGTGTCCCTGCCCATGGCAGGGGGGTTGGAACTTGCTGATCTCTAAGGTCCTTTCCAACCCTAACTGTTCTACGATTCTATGATTATATGAAATCCTGGACAGCCTCATTGCAGCATTCAAGTACCAGGAAAATCCATAAGAACATGGACTCACACCTAATCTTTTTCACTTTATCCTTTTATCTCTTCACTTTTTGCTTTTCCCTCATCTTTTTCCTAACATGTTCTCTCCCTTCATCTACTAGTTGCAGAAAGAATCCAAAAGTTGCTAGCTAATACACAGTTTCAGTACACGACCACCTTCATTTTCCATTAAAAACACTACAATTTCAGAGAAATGAAAAAGGATGGAAGCTAATGGATTTTTTTATGAAACAAATATTTATTCCTAGCTCTCACTTAATAACAAAGGTCGGTAACTACAGAGTGCGCAAAATAGCTATGCTAATTCCCTACTGAAAAAGGGAAAGAGATTAACACAAATGTTATGAAAGAATCTGAACTCAACTCAGAAACATTTTTAGGGAATATTCTGTTTCCATTTATATGGATGTTGGAAGTCTCTGACTCTTTGTTAGAGATCCGACACAGTGAAGCAGCCTGAACTTGATGGATTTTCTTACTGATTTTGTACCACATCTTTGACAACAAGTCAAAAAGTGATCTGACGTCTAATGTATTCACAAGACCCAAAAGTGGTTTTGGCAGTATGAAGTTTAAAACTGCACTATGTCATGCATCAGGAAACATGGAATACTTACTTATTGTGTAAGTATCAATATCAATAACATTGGTAAATATGTCATCAGCAGTTAGCAAGGTATGCATTGGTGATGTACAAGACTACTTAGATCCTCTTCAACTTTTATACCTTAGATTTACAAAGTCAAATCAAAACAAATTGTCAAGCAGTTATTTGGCAACTGTATAGTGAAACATACTCTTTTCACTACGGATTATATATGTACATACATACATACAGAGAAAGAGTTAAGAATACTGTCTAACAATCTCGGTCAGGATGTCAGGTTCCTTATAAACATAAGATCTTCATTTTCTGAAACAGGTTATCCATGAAAATATCAGTTCTTCATTGACCACTTGTGCTATCTCGCTCATTGTTGTATGGTCGTTTAAAGGTAAGTGGCTTGTCTGCCCCTAACCCATGGAGGGGAGAACAGAGCCACCCCACAGGGGACAATTCAGGGCACCCACGTCAGATTCCTAAATCACACCCTTGGGAAGGCACATGACTACAAAAGGAGGCTGCGTATTGACTAAATCACCTAAGTCAAATTCCCACAACCTAGAGTTGTGATACTTCTTCACAAAACCATGGTGTAGCTGGATGAGGGGAAGCCACAGGAAGGCCACATCAACAATGAACATAGAAATGCAATGCATGTCAACTAGAAAAGACCTGTGAGAAACAAAAAGCTTGTCTAGTTTGACATAACATTGAAATAACATGAGTACAAAGAAATAGAAGAGGAGGGGTAACGTGGAAATTGAAATTGCATACATGGACATAAGAGATGAAATTTACAAGTTTATATTATTAATCAGCATAACAAAAGATCAACAAGGAACAAATGTAAGCTACCAAAACAAACCTGACACTTTTTTCCTAAGAATTCAAAAGCTAATTGTTGATCTTAATTCACAAATTAGCATTATTTCTATTGACGGAATATTGAATCTTATCCCTTTGATCTCTGTAATCCTAGACAGAGTGCTGGAACTCATAACAGACATAAAGCTGAAATGTAACATACAGGTGGACAAATAGCATTATCAAGAAGGGTGACAATTTAAAGCAGTACTTACATTCTGTCTAAAAAGGTGTTGACATCTTCATCCTTTTCATAGTCCTTGCACAGCTGGGCTACCAAAGCCCCATATGTGAGTACAAAAAGTTCTCTGCTCTGCCAGAAATGATGGAAATCAAAAATGAAGAAAACTAGAATCCAACTTTTCCACACTTGTGAGCTGCTACTGTATTAAAAGCAAGCAAAAATAATATTTACAGTAATAAAGAAACTTTTGTCCATAGATGTATAATCACTGAAATCCATAGTCCATGTGTGACAGAACCTGAACTGATCATCACTTGAGTCTCCCTGTACAGGGATTTTGTTTGTCAGAAGTATCGTTTCTTGGGATACTTTCATCAGGTGCATTCTTGCATCCTATAGCCACACATATGTATGATGGCTTGATAAATGCTGTCAAACACCATCCAAGATTACTGACAACCATTTAGTTGCAGGAAAGACAATAGAGGCACTGAGCTGTACAGCAGGCTTCTACAATAGGAAAAACACTACATACACCGAAATTCCAGTTCCTTCACAGAGGTATGGCTGACATGATTCAGATTAACAGCTGCTTTCCCCAGTAAATAAAAAGTAGATTAAAAAAAAATGGCTCAGAATAATGACAAGATATTATAATTCAGCACAAGTGTAAAGAATAATGACAAGCAGAATAGAATCAGTCCCATTGACATTTCCCTTTCTTTATCAGCCTTTAAATGTAAATTGGATTGCTGTCAATACTAGCTCTCCAAATGCCTGGACAATCTGACTGTGACACTACTTCTTAGTACAGATGTGGTTTGTATGGCTCCCCAGCATGAGCAGGATGAAACGGATGGGTGAGGATTACAGCCACCTGCCCAAGGAGCATGGAACACAACTGGAAAGGTCAAAGTCATATCTCTGCACAGATGCTGTCACAAGCACTCGTCTGGGTTCTTTAGCTGTGCTCCAATCTGGAGGAAAGTTTTCTTCTCTCCCTGCCCCACGAGATCACCTCCATGGCACTGCAGAATTGACTGTATTGAGCAGGAGTACATGCTGGACCTTAGGCGAGAAACTAGGTTGACTCTCACTAAACTTCTTAGACAGGTATTAATTAAAGGAAGTACTACAGGCGTGTGTGGCATGTGGGCACACTATAGGTACTTTTTATAGCCTGTAGAAAAAATAATAGTGAATACCAATAAAACATTAGAACGAATCACACAAGGAAAGGAAGCACAGCTTGTTCAAAAGATCTCTTCCTGCTCCCTTTGCATCAAAAGCTTGGAGTTTAATCAATGCTCCCATTTAAAGAAGTCACTGTTTAAAATCTTAAGTAGTATGGAACCATTTCCTAAACTCACCTTGCTGATAACTCCTGTTTACATTAATATTGCAAACTTTGCGAAATTCTCATTAACAAGTTTTTAATGCAGTAAATGGATGTTGTACAGGTTCTGCATTGCTGTAATCTCAGCAAAAAGTCTATGTTGTAATATGACAACAATCTGAGAGTAACTTGAGCATACTTCATCAACATAATTGTATTTTTCAGCCACTGTTGCAATCTGTTGGGAGTATTTTTTATGGCAAAAATTTGCATATTTCAACTTTAATTATATTATATTTTTCTATTTCTTTTTCAGTGGAGACCTCTGTCCCCTTTTCAGAAATTGACACAACATTGTCTTAAAGTCTCCTGGAATTCCCCCACTTCCCCAGCTCCTATCAAAAATTCATCATTCACCATACAAAGAATCGTAAGACTCTAGGCTCCTGAAGAAAGATTTGTGTGGAATCCAAACACAGAACAGAGGTATCCTTCTCTTTACATTTCATTTAATGACTATCTAACCACAGAGGCACATAAGCTTACTGGCATTTCTATCTTTGATGATAAATCTCTCTATGCACTTAACACCTCTGCTCCTGAACAGTTTCCAATCTCAGAAACTTTGTGCCCACCTTTCCTAAGCCTGCTCAGAATCTCAGCACTAGACATAAAGTAAAACATTAGTTTGTTATCACTTTTCTAGAATTGCCTATGTTCTCTCTTCTTTACCAGCAACTTCCTCTGTCTCCAGTTTATTATACATATGTATACAGAGATATATGGGTGTCACAACTATGCCTGTGGGCAGGCTTTTTTTATGCCACTGCTTAAGAGCTGGCAGATTGCTGGCAGCTTAAAGGGGGTCACACTGTAGCCATAAGTGTCGCCAGCACCTCTGCTCTCATACTGGCAGACTCATCCCCATCCTTTCAGTACTTTCAGGCTAATCAGAAATACGACTGTATAAAATGTATCAATACAATAATAGCTTGTTCTTAGTCCACGCACAATTTTAATCACACATTACAAAAATGTCTTACTATTTTGTGGTTCTCCTGCTTTCTTCCTGGTGGACGAGACATGTTGCTTGTGTTAACGCCTGATGTATTTGATTGTCAGTTCATGTATTCTCTTCCTCAAGCGGCACAGTTTTCTCACTATCACTGTATTTCCTCTTTTACTTCGCTAATTTTTTCTCCTTTCTTCTCCTCTGCCTTTTGCATGAAATATATTTGCTGCAATCTGTAATGCTGCTGATGCTCCTCCTATTCTCTACGTGTACTGAGCCTTTTGGGAGGAATTTGACCAGCAACAGATCTGCCCCTGTACACGACATAAATAACCACTACATCCATAATAATGATTTGTAATCAAATACACAGCAAACAGCCTTTGTAAGCTGGGCAGCCACAAGAGATTAACAGATCTTAACGTTTTTAGGGACAGCAAATTCAGTCTGCTGTTTGTGTCAGGATTTGGTGTTTGTAGAGTTAACAAAAGCTCCCTCTCTGAAGAATCACAGAACCTTAGATTCATTTAGGTTGGAAAAGACCTTTACAATCATCAAGTCCAAACACTGCTAAGTCCAAATCTACCACTAAACCATGTCCCTAAAGATACTGCCACACAATGTTATTAAAAATTTATCATTTTCAACTTAAAGGAGCTATAGTCTTCTGACAGCTCTGACTGCTTTAGTCTGGTAAGTTAATGCCTGTCCAGGCAGAGCAGTGTGGGTTACAGGGCATCGCTACCACCATGTGTCTGCAAAGCTGGCAGGACAGATCTAGAGCACCCAGACCCCCAAAAGAATAAACTGTGCACCTGCTACAGCTGCCAGCTTGTGCAAGTGGCACATTCATCAATGATGTTTCTAGGAGATTTTATATCATTCTTAACTTACGATAACCCCTATTTGTAAACATCCCTGCTATAAGCATCCAGGAAGGTTCGATTAACTTTTTCTGCTTTCCCCTAAGATAAATTTCGTCTGCTCTCTTAGTTTAGATATGCAATAAATGCAGACTACAGTCATTAGTGAATTAAGAATTAATCAGGTAGCTGTCTTTCCTGTCAGAGTTTATCTCCACATACATTACTTCTTAGTCCTCTCAGGAAAGGCACTTAAAAATACATGGCCTCATCTGAATGCAATGCTGTTACTAATTTCAATTAATAGATTTGGTGTTGAGTGAAATTACAGGTATTTACTACTCCAGATACATAAAAAACAACAGCTGTGATTCATTTGGGATAAGAAGGATCAATTTACTTAAAAACCAAGTAAAGTTATGATAGACTTCAACAACAACAACAAAAGAATAGGACAGAAAAAGGATTTTTAGCTTTTTCTGTGGAAAAGGTAGTCATCCTAAAAGCTTTCATTTTACACAGAACAAGCTGGTGGTGGCAACTTTACAACCAGTAAGCCACTTCAGTTTTCTTTTAGGTGTTCTTCTAGCCCTGTAATATCCAACTCAATTTTATACGTGAAAGTGTCGCAGTTACTTCCCACATCTAAATTTAAATAAATTATAAAAGCCAGGCATTACAATTCTCTAGATAGCTACTTGCATTTCTAAATTGAGTCTGAGATGGGTTTGGTTTCTCAGATTGTCTTCAACTGGCAACAAGCACCAAAGATGTATCTCTTTGTAAGAGACATCTCGTATTTCATAAGAAAGTGTACTGCATTACATTTAGAAAAACAGCTCTAAAAGATCATTATTAGCATAATTTAACTGCAACAAAACCATCAGAGCACTTAAGGCTTCCCATAAATGAGCACCGTTTTATTTACCCCATTCTGAATATAAGGATGAATTACTTCAGCCTGCATTATTAATATTACAATCATGAAGGAACACTGTGGACCATACAGTGTAAAGCATAGTAAAAACACATCAGCACTGTTTGGAAAATACATATGTGCACACATGTGTATATGTGAATTCACAGATATGACACATTAGGTAGAATGCATTACATTTTTGTACATGATTGAGAAAACAATCATTTTGCACATGATTGAGAAAACGAAGCTGAAACAGTGTGTCCAAATAAATTGGAGATTTAATGGCTCCAGTGAAGGAAACAAGTCAATGGTGGACCGCATCCACATTTCCAGGCACAGAACAAAGCCACCTTCTTAATTTTAACTGTCATCTCACCTGCAGCCCTGTGAAAAGAGTAGAGGCTGGCACATACCTGGCACCTGTTTTAAACCTTGACATAGACATCTCAGAAATAACCCAAGGCAATTTGTATAGTGAGGAAGTTAGCATCCCCCTGCACCTCCCTTTTGGTCATGTTTGTCAGGTGAGGATTTTAACCTTCAGCTCCAAAAAGGCTAATCTGGCACACTGCATTGAGCATTAGACTGCAAGAGTTGTCTTCATTCCTGTTAAAACTGAAAAAGAAGACCTACAGCAAAACAACGAAACCCCAAGCCTCAACATCTCTCCCGAAGTTCAAAAGCATGAAAAAGTGTTCAGCATCACTCTGTCTCTTATAGTGGACTGGTTATTATGGGAAAGCTGAAACCTGTAGAGCTAAGCACATGGTACGCTTAGTAGCCCAGAATCTAAGGATTCTTCCAAACATTAATATCCCAGAGTGTAATATAAAGGTCAATAATGCATTAGGTGGCAAATGCCTAAAAAAATGCCTTGAGGCAAAACAAGAATACGCTTTCCACAAAACATGGGTGCCCACATTAGCACAATACAGGATCAGGCTTTTATTTGCTCCCCATCTACAGCTCAACAGATCTTGTGTTAAATATTTCACTCACAGAACATTAAATTTTTTCAAATTGCAAGAAGGTAGGTGATGGGGATTTGAATCTACATGAAAAAACATCATTTGAACATAGGTTTCTCACATCACAAATGAGTGCTTTTACTCAAAGCCCTGTAAGGCTGCTGCTTTAGCCATTTCAGAATAAACCACTGCTATTGCTGCCACCTTGCCTGCAGTGCCCTGCATGGGAAGCATTTCAGCTTGACCTGCTGAAACTTCCTTGGTTAGGTTAGGCATCTCAGGAACTCTTTACAAGAGAGTGGTTTTGGATTTGGGCATCTACTCTCTGGTGAAATTCACTACAGGCACTTCAAATCTCATTGAAATTCGTCTTATAGCACAGCTGAATTCTGAAGCAAAGATGTAAGTTTAAAAAAAAAAAATCAGTAACAGGTTTTTATTCTTCCCTTATCATAAAGCTTATTGATTATTCTATCATCAGTGCTTGTCCTGCTTAAGGAGACAGGAACTTCTCCCTTAACCAGGCCAAGGAGACCATAAAAATGACTTGGAAAGCTGAAGCTAACCTGTGACCCGGCAGAATGCAGGACACGGGCAGTGCTCCCCTATGTTCCCACAGGAAATCTGTACCATGCTTTCTAAGACACAGAGTCAAGCTTGACTTCCATGCAAAATATAACTCAAAATGCAGCTAGAGGAGGCATACAGTGTCAGCCTTCTGAGAGCTAACTCCATGATGAAAAGACTTGTGCAGAACCAGAGAGACCAAAGTTCAGTGTCCTCCTCCAAACTTTATGGGAAGCAACCTTCAGACGGAAAACAGAAGAACACTTCCCTGTTTCTCTGTAACTTCTCCTGGTTATTGGATAACAAAGTCCTTACCGTTTTCTGAGCCAATAAATATCAAAATAAAAAAAAAAAAAAAAAAAAAAAAAGGGGTAACTAAGTGCAACTAGTAGAACTATGTCAGAAAGGCTGGAGAATACAGAGCTTCATGACTCCACATTACTAATAACAACAGAGCTCCTGGAAGAAAGAGATGAGCGAACATGTTTTGACTAGATCAGGTGCAGAAGGGAACTGAAACCAATCTCTTCTTTCTGCCATGGCTGCTTTATTTCAAGAAAAAAGAGGTAAGAGATTAAAACCTGTTTGCCTGTGCATGGGAGTGTATAGGCAAGTGTAATATGCCTTCCAATAGCCATGTTTTAAAAGAAAATGACAAGCCATTCTCAGTTCTTCCCCCCAAAAAATCACTTATTCTCATAAGTGAGGTTCATTGCGGGGAGTTCAAGCTGACACTGTCCTGCAAAATGACAAGCGAAACTATAGCCAAGTTTTGCCCATGTGTCTTATCTGCCTCAGACAACAGGTATAAGCATTTCTTTGCCTCAGAGATGTTCCCTCAGGCAGTGGTATTTTGGATTGCATTCACTCCTAACTCTCCCTGGGCAATGGATACAGGGCTTAAATGTCTACCTCAGGACTCTGGGTTCCTCTGAAAAGGCAAGTACTTCCAGGTCTGATGCACCGCCCAAGCTCTTAACTGGATCCAACCCTGTAATTTTTTCCATAATAGGATGACCCAGCAGGATTATTTACGGCATAGCATGAAAGCAAATGCCAAAGTGAAAATGCAGCAGTACGAAGTTGCTGTATTGATTGTATAAATTGCCTCATTCAACAGCTTCAGGCTGACTATGAATATTTCAGTGTTGTACATCTCTCCAGTTTCACATCTAATGTGTTTCTTGAGTAAACAAGTGATGCTTGGAAAAGCCTTCCTCCCTTATAAACCAAATAAGACATGGGTTCCCAAAGAAAGCTCAGCAGCAATCAGAGATTTTAAAATGAACTGAGGTATAATGGAAGACTCTTAAAAAAAAACACCCTCAAAATAATTCTGTAATGGGTTTATTACACTGAATTTAAAGCTTGATGGGTTTATTACATTGAATTTAAAGGAGGTGGGTTTTTTCTTAACTATAATGCCACCAGTAAATGGAAAAAAAAACCAAAAAAAGTTACTGAAACTCCTGTGAAACTGAAAGAAAATGAAGCTTCCAAATGGCAGTGTTCAGACAGCACCAGGATTTTGTTGTTTTACTACTCTGCCCAAACGATCAACAACAGGTTCCAGAAAAGCTGTGGCAAAGTGATGCTGGATGTTTCAGCATGTTTCTCTATCACTTTTAATATTGTCCAATGGCGTCACATAGTTTTGAAAGCTAATTACTAGCAAGGACCTCTTTCACAGCTTGTGACTGGGGTAACAAGCAGGTGCCCACCCTAACAGCTCACTGGAGGAACAAAGTCTTGGGCAAGATGTGTATAACATGCTATCCATGTGTGTGCCTATCAGCCGTGACAGCATCTCTGCCATACAAATAGACTTCTCAGAACTTTAACACAACTTTTCGCATATTCAGATCAGCCGAGGATATGCAATGTGCAGAACTACTGGACAGTGTGACCGTAAGACAAAGTGCAACCTGGAGAAACTTACCAGGAACAAAACATTTTTAACAAACCTCCGTTTCAGGCTTGTTTTGTGAGAAACGATGAGAGCACAGATTATACATCCCAATATTCAGAAACCATTTCTGGAAATGTTTAACTGAAAAATTTCTATCTACCTCTGTCCACAGAACGGGCCTGACAATACTTAAAGAAAATCTTAAACCTTGTAGTCAAAAGCACACTATATAACCACCAGCTATTATCATGGGCGTGTCTGAAGCTGGTTTTACACTGTATGAACAGCAGATTACACACTGTCAAAAAAAAAACCAACCCAAAACTTCCCGAAGACAACATTCAACCCTGTCAGGAAAAGAGACAAGCTAGCTTCCTGCCACCTACAGGTGGAACACTAAAATCCTCATGGTCTATCAGCTACCTACAGCTCAGGCTCCAGGGTTTGGAAAACAAATTGCCCCAGAACTGACATAAACCAGCACTGGGATTCCAAACTTCGTGAAACTGATGGGATATTTTCTGGTTTTATTTTAAAAGTTTTGGGTTTTATAATCAGTCCACTTAACAAGGCTTTGTTTGGTTGTTTTTTTATGAAGAATACCTGAAAGATCTCTTTTGGGTTTTTTCCCCCTAGTCCCATGCCATGCTTCTGCTAATAGCCACTGATTAACAGCTTGCTAATTAACCCTGAGAAGATAGCTATCAGTTTGGCAGCACTGCATGTCATCCAAAAAGTAGGGAGAATTTATTTAGGTTCAGACAATTAGCA